TATTTGGGGAAATATATCAAATACAGCTCAAAAATATCTTTGCCAAATTTTATCGAGATCGGTTCAGGTTTGGATATAGCTCCCATATATATCTTTACCCGATTTCAAATTATTTGTGCTTGCTTCTGCATATTTAATCTTTTGAACTTTAAATTATAATTATAATCATAGCGTGTATGCTTGAATTCTCCCATAAAAACTTTTAATTGTTATGTGGAGCTCTACTTAATTAGCAAAGTGGTGTAGGGTATCATAAAGTCGGCCCCGCCCGACTTTAAGATTTTCTTTACTGGTTTACATGTATAATATGCAAGATAAACTAGTCTATGAATTGGATTCTATGTACAAATATTTTTATACCCTCCACCATACTATGGAGGGTATATTAAGTTTGTCATTTCGTTTGTAACACCTCGAAATATACATTTTAGACCCTACAAAGTATATATATTCATGATCAGCATAAAATTCAATGTCGATTTAGCGATGTTCGTCCGTCTATCCGTCCTCTAGCTTCCGAACGAAATGAAGTAGGTTAATTAAATTTTACTCAAATGTATATTATGTCTGCAGAACTTTCGGCATTGAAAATGGGCCATCTAGGTCCACGTTTCAGTATAGCCATATAGTGGTAACTCCCGATATTCGGCATTTTGATGATTTTAGCGACATTATTAACCGATTTTTTTAAGTTTCGCATTTGAATATTGTAATGGCTTATGACAAAAGTTACCTATGCATGTCGATGTCGTCGTATAGATCTTAATTTAACTGCTACATCCGGTATTTTTAAGATTTTAACAGAATTTTTAACGGATTTTTTGTTTTTGAGAATTGCCAAATTCGTTCCAAATGGTGGTGGTATTTAAATTTCGGCTTACAGTTTTTTTACTTGTTTCGAATAAATATACTCTGTTCGTTTTTTGTTAAATGTTTGGGGATTTTTTTGGAGGAAATTGAATCAAATTGAGAAAATTTGGGGCAAAAGTTCTTTGATTTTGGGGACGAGAGACAGAAAAATACTGGCAACACTGCTCCCAGGAGTGTGTTTCACTTTTTTCTCGAATTCGAACGGGAGTACTTCTGGAAGTAGAAAAAAACTCGAGCATAAGTACTTTATTTTTCTATGCCGCTCGAACAAGAACCAGAACCTGAAAATGTCGATCTTACCATCTGCTAGCAAAACCACAATAAATATTTTAGATCGATTTTTTTTTCGTTCCTAATGTGTTGTTAGGATGATTTATAATCCTAATGTGGCGCCCAATGTTTTGAGATTGGCCAACATATCGAACGCGTATAACGACATTCCTTGTTAGAGGGCTTTTTTCTTTTCATGGAAAATAACTTAGGATGCATGTATGTATAATCTTGTGGTCTTAAAAATCATTTTTGTTTTAACTATTGAACTGGCAGTATATATTACAAAACTCTTTATTCATTTATTAAAGACAGCAGATCACCCAATAACCAAATTACTACATCTCGCAGCAATTAAAATCGAATTAAAACTTTGGTCAATCTATTCGTGGAATAGCGTCATTGCATTGCATTGCCACCCATATGAATGGGTATTTCAGTTTTTTTATGCCACCTAGGACCTGTTTCCTCTTGCCACGATGATGGCAATTGACCGTGAACCTCCCACAAACTAATTTTCCCCAAAACCGTTTTTCCAATTATGATACGTTTTGTTTTTGTAATGGGCAATTAAATATAATTACTTGTGGTTGGTTGTCTTCAATAAATTCCAAATGAAAAAATATTTAATTTTTCCAAAGATTTACCTCCCGCAAATCTCCATTTTCCCATAACCAAAAGAAACAGCAGACGAAGAAGATGAAGAAAAGAAAACAAAACATCGTTGATGCATGAGTTTTTTATGATGAACCAATTCAATCGGAACGCTTTACACAATTTAGAACGTTTATGGAATTCGTGTGTGCGTTTCTGTCGTTCACGTCGTTTCGATTCTGTGAAGGGAAGCGTTCAAATTTCGAACATCCTGTTTGATGGTGGCATTTAGTGTCGATTCGATCGAAATGCTTTTGTCCGTCGCTGTGTCTAGGCGAGTCTGCCTCTAATTATGGCCATTAATTAATGGGTTCTTTGGAAATCTGAAAAAAATATCGAGTCTAACTGTGTGTCTGTTACATTAATGATCGATACAAAAAAAGGAAATTACACACTTGTCTGTCTAAGTAGGTACTTCGAATGGAATTAAAATTGAAAAATAAAATAAAATGTGATGATCAAAATCTTTGGTACACTTACCCAAATTATTTGGAAAATTAAATAAATTTGAGATGTTCTGGATAAACTTCTGTTATACATTGGGTACATATCAAAAAGGGATAAAACTGTCATTCCCTGTACCTCAATAAAATTAACAGCTAAAACTGCACTCGAATGAAAACATACGAATAAAGTAATTAATTCAAAGACTGAAACATATGCATATTGTAAGTTACACACTTACATACTGTATGTCTATAAGTACTTGCATTACTTCCTACTTGATATTCCGCTAATAAATGAGCGGACAGCTATTGTAATTGAATATTTAGATATTAAAAAAAATATTCGCCATAAAATAAGCAACCATTCGTCACAGCTAACAGTCACTCATCTGGTCAAAACGTCAAATGAATAATTAGGAGAGATGACCGATGATTAGCTGGGTTGTCGTCTGGATGTGGATGGCAAATGTTTGTAAATACTACGACGATTCATTTGTTGTTTGTTTTGGTTTAGGTTGCTGCTGCGGCTGGTGCTCTCATCCATTTCTATCAATCCAAACATGTGCGCTCCTCTCAGTTTGAAGCTTTAGTTCCGCTCATTGCGGAGACGAATCTCTCTTGCACTTTTTTGTTTGCATACAATTTGCCATGGGGCGTAGTATTGAGGTGGCGCTAATTATTATACTTAAGTTGCAATGAAATAAAACATGTGATAACAACTAAAACAAGTATGAAGCGTTAAGCTCAACCGAGCTGGACTTTTAATGCCCTCCATCGAGAAAACATTTATCAATTTAAGCATGTGAATTCGATATTCGAACGTCTTCCACTTTAAACTGAAAATAACTGAGAGATCGGTCGGAGAAGGTAGATAAAGATTTAAAAATAGCACAAAATTGGTGGTACTTTAATTTAGGGACTATACTCAAAGGCAAATTTGTACAATATAAGTTCGTAGAGTAATACGTTAGTAAATGTGGTTTAAATCTTTAAAATACCGAATATCCACACGTATTTTTATATGGGTGCTAATGTTGCATTGCAGGTATACCAAAATTCGACACCATCTTTTGGGTTTTCATCCCAAAATGTTAAAGTACAACCATACTTTGGTGTAGAAGGTTTATATCCGCTAAAATCCTTAAACGCCATATTACAGGTAAAATGTGTTTGAAAGTCACAAGCTATATAATTTTATAGGTTCTGAACTAACACCAAATAAGGTAAACTTAAATGGAACCGACAACTTCAAATTGCTGCTAATTTAGTCCACTATAGTATGGAGGGTATATTAAGTTTGCTAGACCCAGACCCCACGAAGTAAACATATTCTTGATCAGCATAAAATTCGATTTCGAACTAACGATGACCGTCCATCATCGTCCAGGTCATATGCGAATCCAGGTCTTCGTATAGCCCCCATATATCGCTACCTCCCAATATTCGGTATTTTGATGATTTTAGCGGCTTTGTTTCACCGAAATTGTTTCAAATTTCGTACTTGAAGTTCCTAATAGGTACTACAACCTAAGACAGAAAATTGCATATGCAGGTCCAGGTCTTCGTATAGACCCAATGTATCGGTACATCCCTATATTCGGTATTTTGATGATTTCATCTACATTATTCACTGAAATTGTTTCAAATTTCGTATTTGAAGTCCCCAATGTGTACTACAATCTATGACAGAAAATTGCATATACTGGTCCACGTCTTCGTATATCCCTCATATAACGGTACCTCCTTATATTCGATGTTTTTATGATTTTAAATACATTATTATCCGGAACTGTTTCAAATTTCGTATTTGCACTTCGTAATGTAATGGGTATTACAGGTCCACGCCTTCGTATAGTTTGGGGTCCATAACTGTAACTCCCTATATTCAGTATTTTTAAGATTTTAAACAAATTTTTAACGGATGCTTTTTTACTTTATTTATTATCATTATTTTTTTAGAAAATCTCCAAATACTTTTCATATGGTGGATGGTATTAATAGTTCGGCCCGAGTGATAGATATTGGCAACAATGCTATTCAACATTTTCATTTTTGTTTCATTGGTAGCTTGGGATTGAGAAAATGTACATTCTTCCAAATAAATCAAGAGCAAAATCTGCTCGATTTCAAGTGACTACACTCGAAAAGGAGTAAAGTAGTCTCACTCTTATTTGATTGGTATAGAAATTATTTTTTTTTTACTCGCGGGAGTACTCTTGCTAATTCGAGCGATAACACTCCCTGCTTCTGAGCTGTTATTGTTTCGAACAACATCCAAGAAACATTGTACCTTCCAATTTTCTACAAATTATTAATTATTTTATTTTAATATCGACCCCAGTCAATATTATCTACTTTGAAATTAACACATGTTAACATCTCTGCACAATGTTTGTTTTCATGCCCCCCTTTTACTAACTACGTCATTGTCTTAGATTATTATGATGCTTTATTTTTGCTATGATTTTCTTCTGAGAGTGTTGGCGGCTGTGTGTGCGTGTGTTGGATTGACCGAACATTGCTTTTGCAAATGTGTGCTTGCCTTTGCGATGCTTGTGTGCTGATTTTTGGGTGGAGAGGGGCCAGAGCATGCCATTTTGCGCCAACGACAGCGACAACGATGCTGAGCACAAATATCAACGGCTACGGCGCACATCAGCGCCAACAGTGGACTGGCAGAATGAGAAATACAAAAATACTACCTCTTATCGTCGGCTATACTTTATTGTGTTTTCTTTCTGGCAGTTATTCGATTTTTGTGAGCCGCCGATGAATGACGTCGCGTCGGTTTGGTCGCTAATATTGATAAGAATAATAATACGCGAGAGACAATTAATCAAAACAGAATAACTCGCGAAAAAAAGAACAAAATAAAAACGCAAATGTTGATTATGATAAAGAATATTATTTGAACTAAAAACAGCAGCAACAATAAGAAATAACAAAACATATTAATAAAGTACGATTTTTACATATATTTAAAGTTAATAATAAATAATTATTGAAAATAAAAACAGTTGACATTTTGTCTCAACAAGTGAAAAGAGAACAACAGCAAAGTTATTGACGGAGAAGAATTGTTGAATAACGGAAACTCCAGTTCAAGTGAATTTTGTAAAGAATAAACAAAGCCAACATTGTTTGTGGACATACCGTTAGCAATAATAGAAAAAAAAACAAAACTGAAAAACTCTTCTGGTGTTTACAACTAGTATTGTTGTTGTTTTTGTTGGAAAATATTAAACAAAAACACACAGAGAAGAGCAGCAGATTAAACAATTCAAAGTGTGATACCATTTCTCGGGTTGTTTTTGTTGTTGTTTGATAAACAATTTTATTGCCATCCATCAAACAAAAACGACAAACACTCGCTTACTCACCGACACCGGACAGACGGTCAGCCAGCCAGACACATCTCGAGTTGTGGCTGCATTTGCATTGTTTGTGTGGTGCACTGCGCTCTCCCTCTCGGCTCTCTGAGTTACAGTTAAATTATTTGATAATCAAAAAACAAATAGAAATTTGGTTTGTTGTTGGTCGTTTTGGCGGCTGATGGTGGGACAGACAAACGACGGAAAGGAATGTTAAACAGAACGCGCGTCAATTCATAAGACACACGGGATTTTCATATTCTTCTTCTTGTCCAGATAACAACGATAAACTCAAAAAGAAAACACACAAAAGCATACCGCCACCAACCACTCCCCCCTGCCGGCACATAAATTTAAGCTCTTTTCTTCTCCCTTATTGTGTTGTGTTGTCCATGCATTTCTCAGTATCGGCAGCAGCAGCAACAACAATTCATTGTCTCATTCAAGTGCTTTGATTTTATTTTTAAGTTTCAACGAAACGGAAGACCGCAGAGAAACAACGACGAACAAAAAAAAATAACAATAATAATAAAGATATTCAAAGGAAAAACAGAACAAAAACAAGCAAAGCATAAAAAGTTTCAATTTCTATGGAATAAATAAATAAAGAAAGAAAGAAAACGGAAATACCAAAGCCAATGAGCAAACAGACAAATCCATCAACTAAGCAAAACGCAAAGAGAACGAGAGCGCGAGAGAATTGTAACAAACATAAGGGCATATTTACAAGTGTAAAGAGCCAAGAAACCTAGACAAAAACAAGAAATCTCAAGAAGAGTGATAAAGAGAGAAAAAAGAAACGTAAACAGAACGAACAGCAACAATAATCAACAACAACAGACGGAAGTAAGTTGACTCGACTCGAGCAACACAGAGTTGCAAAGGCGGCAGCAACACATGCATCGGGTATCAACAACAACAGCAGCAGCAGCACACCCGACAGCTTGACAACACCACTCTCCAGTTTGTTTTTTGCACTCGCCTCCATTACTCAGGTCTTGTTGCTGGCAATGTAAAGTGCAAGGGAGTGTTTGACACAGCCACAAAAAAAAGGAAGCAACTTAATTTTTATTTTTGTTATTGTTGTTCTTGTCATCGGTTGTGACGACTGAGAAAGAAACTGCATTCACTCTCTCTCGCCTATCGCAATAATCTATCAATAAAATTGCCGAGTAAACAAAACAAACAAACAAACATTCAAAATATTGCAAAACCGGCTGGCAGTCAGTTGATTTTTATTTTGGCGAATCAAACGAAACGAATCTAAGCCGGAACTTTTGAGCGCCCAAAACAACAGCAACTACAAAGAAACGCAAAGGGGATAAAAAGAAAAACAACAACGACTAACCTTTGCTGGTAGCAGTGAGGAACACAACAGAGAATTCACGACATTCATTTGTTACAAAGAAAGGTAGGCGATTTCGTTTTCTCCTCTCCCCCGCACCCAGTCAACCAACTTACTTGACTTTTGCCAGTGAGTGACTTTCTTGCCTACTACTGTTGTTAATATTTACGAGGAACAATACAGTTCGCCCGCTCTCCCTCTCTCCTGCTCCATTGCATTGCACTGCAATTGGGGAATAGATTGGCTTGTGTTGTAAAAGCGTGCGACTGAGTCTGGTGTTCTTTGGCGTAATATATCCGCTTCCGCATTGTGAGTTTGCTTGGCTTCATTCTGACAAAAAAGAAAAAAGAAAGAAATAAAAACAAAAACGAAGAAACAGTAAAAGCAAAAGCATAGAAAACAAAACAAGAGCACTCGTCGACATATTTTCCGCACACAAACACACAATCGCCTGCACCCTCTGCACGAAAAGTCAGCTGAAAATCAGGAATCATTACCAACAGTTCAGCCAATCTTTATTGCGAAAATTGTCAACGACAGTAAACAGCATTGGTAAGTTCAATAGCATTTAGAATTGTAGCGTTAATGGTATTAGCTTTATAAAATGGAAAAGTAGCGAACTGTCAAAAGTGTTCGCTGTAAAACTATGATGATTTTTTATGTAAGGGGGAATAGTTCGGGTAAAACTCGGCCCCAAAATTGAGAGTACATTAAAATTGACATTCCGTTTGCAACACCTCGAAATTGTCACACTGTTAGAGTTAAAATTTTGCAAGAAATTATTGATATAATTTCAAGGATTTTCGTTAGTTAAAATTGGATATAATGGTCCACGTTTAGGTATGTAGCTAATATAAGGAACTTTCAGATTCTCGTTATTGAGGTCTCTGTCCCAATTTTAAACCAAATTAGTTGTATTTTCATAATTCGGGTTCTTAGTGAGTAGTTTAGCTGCATTTAGAATTTAAATATTGAATGCATGTCCACTTTTTGGTGTGGTCCCCATAAAAGTGCACCCCCACTTCGGACTCAATTTTCCACGAAATTAGCTGTGGGCTGTTATTGCGGGTTCTTAGTAAGCAATTTACCTTATTGCCAAAAATAATAAATATTGGTCCTACCTTTTATAATGTTGTATGTGTACTCTCGAAGGGATTATACGATTTGATTCATACTTGCTACATTGTAATATTCCTATCAAATGTAGATCGCCTTCTAGTCCTTCTATAAAAAAAAGTCAAAATTTTTGAAAGAAAAAAATTGCTTAAAATTAATGAGGTATTCGATTTCGTTTAAACTTTGCTCGTCTTAATATTTGAATCAACCCTAGGTAAGATAAATAAATGAAAGAAATCGGTTCATTCTTTCTGCTACCTACCCTACAATGGTCAAAAATCTGTATAAAAATATCTCTATATATATATTTATTTCAAATTTAGATCGAGTTCGCCTTCTAGTCCTCCTCCACAAAAAGTCTAAATTTTTGAAAGAAAAAAAAAATGTACTTAAAACTAGTGAGGTATCCGATTTTGTTTAAACTTTGCACGTCTTAATATTTGAATCAAACCTATGCAGGATAAGTAAAGGAAAGAAATCGGTTCATTCTTTCAGGTACTTCCCCTACAAATGGTCAAAAATCTGTATAATAATATCTCTTAACAGAAATCTGTATAATAATATCTCAGCATTTTGTGTTTTTTTTTTTTTTAACTTCTTACACCTCAATTTTTTTGTAAATGTTATTGAATGAAAGCAAAAAATGTCGGAAATAGCATCAAATTTTAGAATATGTTTAGATTTGTTCGAATTGGTCACCTTTGGCACGAATTATGGCCTTCAAACGGCCAATGTTGCTATGCGGTATTTTGAGCCATTCCAGGCGAAGCACTTGCTTGATGTGATCGACACTTTGGTATTTTTTAGTGCCAACTTTGGTATTTAGGCAGCTCACCTCTTTCGGCCAAGCAAATCAACTCTTTAGCTCTTTTGAGTCTATTTTATTTCTGTTGCGGTGTAAGTCCTTGAACTTTTTTGAATTTCAATAATATTTGCCAAATGGAATAGTTCATTTCACCCTGTATTCGCATCCTGGCCCCTTCGGCGCGGGAACATGGCTATGTTAAGATAGTCAGCAGAAGTTATTATATATCTCGACAAATTCGGGTGGGTGGGGGTTGGTGATGAATTACACGTCGTATTAGTTTTATTCTACTTGTCCAATGGAATTACAGAGTCTAGCCACTCAGTTCGCCATATTATTCAGAGGGCATTTAGATATCAAGAAAAATTCTTATTTTAATAAATCTTTGATCTGCTATAAATAAATAACTCGAAAGTAATTTGCATTTAGACTAGTTATTGTTGTTTACATTTCAAAAATTCTAAATCTAATAACTTAAATAATGAATCAGATTATGTATTTCGGAATTCTTCTACAGAAATCAACGAACTTATTTTTGCATACAAATGAGCAATAATTATGATAAAAATGTGGTTTTGAACAAAACAAAGACGCCTATTGTCATCGTTTCCCCTGAACAGTTAATTTGTTAAATGGCAATAAATTAGTCAAATCAATTTGGCAGTCACCGCTCCTTCTACTCAATTTTAATGTTTAACTCAATAATAGGTACCAATCTGATTTAAATTATTTTTTTGCCAGAATATCAAAATTATTATCTGAAAACACTTTCGTTTTGGAATATCTTTGTACCTATCTGCCTACCTACCCACCTCCCCTATCACATGGAGTAGTGAAAAAGATTATTTCTCTGGAGAACGCTAAATAAACAGAACACAAAAACATATTGTTATATTTCTATGGCATTTAGCATGATATCTAGGTGTGCGGTAGTGTACCCCCTCCCCGCCTCCCTCTCTGCTTCCTCTTTGCTCGCCATCATATTTTTTGGACGTAATACCAGCAATAAATGTTCACATAAAGAATAAGAAATAAAAGCAAACATATCCGGAAATAGATTTCTTCTGTACAAAGTATGTTCTGGTTGTGTATTCGAACTACAACGATGAATTATCTTTGCCGCACAACAAAAACTACACTGACGAGCATAAGTACTCAGCAGCGGCAGCAGCAGAACGACTAGACAAATGTCTAGTTGCACTACATAAATATGCGAGTGTACGTACGCACATCTATCTATACATAATCAAACGGACATACCTATCTACATTAATAAATAACATGAAAACGTAATAATGAAGATATCATATGGTTTCAACATAACTGTTGTTTCGTTCTTCTTCTTCCTCCCCCTCTAACAAAAAGAACATCCCAGCGAAATAGGAAGAGCTCCATCGTCAGTCACATTACAACCACATCAATTTTTATTCTTTTCCTCTATGCATTACTTCTGTTTCTTTTTCGTTCCGCTATGTATTGCTACTATTATTGCATCGCATTGTTGCTGTTGTTGATGGTGGTGTTGGAACCAGAATGTTATTCCTATGTTATCGTCTTACGATGATGTACTTACGTCGTTCATTCGGTCGTTGGTACACACAATTGTACAATTATTTGGTTGCAAACATACATCACATGTTCCTCCATTTTTCTTTTTGTTGCGAACTTGGAGAGTCAGGAAATTATCCGAGCTGGGTACTTCAGTTGCATCCAGTGTTGCCGTTTAGGGTTTTATGTCGGTACGAAATTTAATACATACAGGTAGGGAACCGACTTTGTTGGAGTTCGGAAAAATAATACTTCAAAATATTTTTTCGAGGACGTTACTTAACTCCTTTCGAACCACTGATACTACACAACAACCCATTTGGTTCGAAAATCCTACAAGGACCTTCAGAAAGATGGATGGCACCGCTATTGGACAATTCTGAAGCGTAAACCTTTTATGCAAATTTTATGAGGGGTCTTCTCCCGAAATAGGGCGATATCATTAAATTTTATGAAATAATTTGTAAGGAAAGAACTAGGTGTTTGTATTTAAAAGCCTAAATTTCGATTTTATGGCAAAAATTGCAAATGGAGTTTAGGTCGTAAGAGTAAAATATATTCAACGATTTACGAGTGTTTAGGTTAGACTTTCTGTCACATCACCTTAAGGCAAAATTACACATCAAATAATTAAAATCAAAATTTGAAAAGTCAAATGAATTTTTGGCTGATTAAAAATAGTCCGATATTTTGTTTAAGGCAAAAATTGGAAATTATTAATACCGATTCTATTTTCCGTGCTAATTCCTGGTGAGGCCTTCCATCCACTAGGATTACAGCTATTTGGTTTAGCAAAAATCTAATTTTTCTACCAAGAATATTTATACCCTACAACACTATGTGTTGGCGTTATTATAAGTTTGATTGAGCCAACAATTATGTAACACCTCGAAATATTGGTCTCCCACATAGGAACATATATATGGATCTTCCTATCTCACCGAGCTGAATCGATCTAACTATGTATGTCCGTCTGTCCGTTGTTTGTTAATTTGTAATCAAGCTACAGGCCGCAATTATGACCCGATCTTCACGAAATTGAAAACGAAGGTGGAGTTAGGGTCAGATAAAACCCTATTGTCTTTGGAGATGATTGCAAAACATTTAGGGGTTGAAATGGACCAAAAACAGACCACAATTATGAACCAATAGACGCGAAAACTTTCATGGAGCTAGAGTTTAGGACTGGACAGAAGCCTACCAATTTGGGCGGCCATCGGACAATATTTAGTGAGTAAATTAATTCGGAAAGGTCTCTTGCCAGAAAAGGAGGAAAAAATCGCGGGAAAATATACCAATATTTTTCCCCTTTTTCAATTTTTGTCATATTTTTTATCGCGTGCGATTTTTTCAATTTGACTTACAATTTAGAATTATAAATTTTTACACCCCGCAACACTATGTTTTGTGGGTATAATATACATGTCACAATTATCGTGCGATCAGGGTAAGGGTCAGAATTAAAGGATATTGTTCTTATGACGTACATTTAGGGGTTAAAGTGGACTAAAATGTTAAATTTTCTATTTTTTGGTCGCTCTATAGGCCACAATTGAAAACCAATTGACATCGAATTTCGCTTCAGAAGAGAGTTAAGGACAGGAAAGAAGTCTAGCATTTTGGATGACCATATTTAGCTATAAAATGGACCAAAACTTTCGTAACAACACGACGGAGTGCGTAAATATCGGCTAAATTCCCCGGGTCAAAAACCTAAGGGGAACATCTGGACAGGGCTCTTTGACATTATTTCAAAAACGAAATCTTCCAAAATTGATTTGGACCTATGGGGACTTCAATCATATTGTAGTATTGTAGGGTATCACATGGTCGGCCCCGCACGTCTATAGCCTTTGCTATTAAGGGACCTTCTGATATTCGGTATTTCGAAGATTTCAGCCAATATTTTCAACCGAATTGGCTTTATTATTTACTTTATGTTCTAATTAGATGACGTTTATGACGTTTCTGGTCATATTTTCAGGATCAGATAACTGTAATTTGATTTTTGAAATCTCAGCGAGTAGAAAACATTTCCACAATGCTTCATCAGTATAAGTCGAAACAAAAGTTTTGTTCCAGA